GCTTTGAAAGACTGGTCATGGCTCACATCAACAGCATAATCCCAGAAACCCTAGACCCACTCCAATTTGCATACCTCCCCAACAGATCCACAGATGATGCAATCTCTATCGCACTCCACACTGCCCTTTCCCACCTGGACAAGAGGAACACCTACGTGAGAATGCTATTCATTGACTACAGCTCAGCATTCAACACCATAGTGCCCTCAAAGCTCATCACTAAGCTAAGGATCCTGGGACTAAACACCTCCCTCTGCAACTGGATCCTGGACTTCCTGACGGGCCGCCCCCAGGTGGTAAGGGTAGGTAACAACACATCTGCCACACTGATCCTCAACACGGGGGCCCCTCAGGGGTGCGTGCTCAGTCCCCTCCTGTACTCTCTGTTCACCCATGACTGCATGGCCAGGCACGACTCCAACACCATCATTAAGTTTGCCGACGACACAACAGTGGTAGGCCTGATCACCGACAACAATGAGACAGCCTATAGGGAGGAGGTCAGAGATCTGGCCGTGTGGTGCCAGGACAACAACCTCTCCCTCAACGTGACCAAGACAAAGGAGATGATTGTGGACTACAGGAAAAAAAAGAGGACTGAGCACGCCCCCATTCTCATCGACGGGGCTGTAGTGGAACAGGTTGAGAGCTTCAAGTTCCTTGGTGTCCACATCACCAACGAACTATCATGGTCCAAACACACCAAGACAGTCGTGAAGAGGGCACGACAAAGCCTATTCCCCCTCAGGAGACTAAAAAGATTTGGCATGGGTCCTCAGATCCTCAAAAAATTCTACAGCTGCACCATCGAGAGCATCCTGACTGGTTGCATCACCGCCTGGTATGGCAACTGCTTGGCCTCTGACCGCAAGGCACTACAGAGGGTAGTGCGTACGGCCCAGTACATCACTGTGGCAAAGCTTCCTGCCATCCAGGACCTCTATACCAGGCGGTGTCAGAGGAAGGCCCTCAAAATTGTCAAAGACTCCAGCCACCCTAGTCATAGACTGTTCTCTCTGCTACCGCACGGCAAGCGGTACCGGAGTGCCAAGTCTAGGTCCAAAAGACTTCTCAACAGCTTCTACCCCCAAGCCATAAGACTCCTGAACAGCTAATCATGGCTACCCGGACTATTTGCACTGCCCCCCCACCCCATCCTTTTTACGCTGCTGCTACTCTGTTAAGTATTTATGCATAGTCACTTTAACTCTACCCACATGTACATATTACCTCAACTACCTCAACTAGCCGGTGCCCCCGCACATTGACTCTGCAACGGTACCCCCCTGTATATATAGCCTCCCTACTGTCACTTTATTTTACTTCTGTTCTTTTTTTCTCAACACTTTTTTTGTTGTTGTTTTATTCTGACTTTTTTTGTTTAAAATAAATGCACTGTTGGTTAAGGGCTGTAAGTAAGCATTTCACTGTAATGTCTGCACCTGTTGTATTCGGCGCATGTGACCAATAAAATTTGATTTGATTTGATTTGAGACAGGATTGTGTTGAGGCACAGATCTGGGGAAGGGTACCAAAAACTTTCTGCAGCATTGAAGGTCCCCAAGAACACAGCAGCCTCAATCATTCTTAAATGGAAGATGTTTGGAACCAGCAAGACTCTTCCTAGAGCTGGCCGCCCGGCCCAACTGAGCAATCGGGGGAGAAGGGCCTTGGTCAGGGAGGTGACCAAGAACCTGATGGTCACTCTGACAGAGCTCTAGAGTTTCTTTGTGGAGATGGGAGAACCTTCCAGAAGGACAACCATCTCTGCAGCACTCCACCAATCAGGCCTTTTATGGTAGAGTGGCCAGATGGAAACCACTCCTCAGTAAAAGGCACATGACAGCCTGCTTGGAGTTTGCCAAAAGGCACCTAGACTCTCAGACCATGAGAAACAAGATTCTCTGGTCTGATGAAACCAAGATTGAACTCTTTGGCCTGAATGCCAAGTGTCACGTCTGCAGGAAACCTGGCAACATCCCTACGGTGAATCATGGTGGTGGCAGCATCATCATGCTGTGGGGATGTTTTTCAGCTGCAGGGACTGGGAGACTAGTCAGGATCAAGGGGAAAAAAGAACAGAGCTAAGTACAGAGAGATCCTAGATGAAAACCTGCTCCAGAGTGCTCAGGACCTCAGACTGGGGCGAAGGTTCACCTTCCAACAGGGCAACAACCCTAAACACACAGCCAAGATAATGCAGGAGTGGCTTCGGGACAAGTCTCTGAATGTCCTTGAGTGGCCCAGCCAGAGCCCGGACTTGAACCCGATCTAACATCTCTGGAGACCTGAAAACAGCTGTGCAGCGACGCTCCCCATCCAACCTGACAGAGCTTGAGAGGATCTGCAGAGAATGGGAGAAACTCCACAAATACAGGTGTGCCAAGCTTGTAGTGTCATACCCAAGAAGACTCGATGCTGTAATCGCTGCCAAAGGTGCTTCAACAAAGTACTGAGTAAAGGATCTGAATACTTATGGAATTGTGATATTACCATTTTTATTATGGGGTATTGTGTGTAGATTGATGAGGAAAATAAACAATTTAATCAATTTTAGAATAAGGCTGTAACGTAACAAAATGTTGAAAAAGTCAAGCCGTCTGAATACTTTCCGAAAACACTGTAGGTAATACCAGACGACATGAGAGATGGAGAGACACCTTGAGAGCATCATGCCTAACAGGAAGTGTAAAGAAGGGCTTTCCTTGACGTATGGGGGAGGAGGGTCTCAGCTGTGGTCCAAGTATTCTGATATGTTCTGTCCAGTTGTCCCTCAAACAGGCCTGCAGGTGCCATCAACCAGCCTACATACCATCTGTGAGTGAACTGTGAGGATGGTCAAGACAAAGAGAGAAAGAGAGAGATCAATAATCACTGTTGAGCATTCCATTAAGAATATTGCCATATTGTTTCAGAACAGTAGGGTACAGCAGGGTTAAAGAGATATGCTGATTTACAGCCATGGGGCCCAGTTTATTGCTTCTCGTCAGAGTGTTGTAGGAGGCGGTAGTGCAGGACCTTGACAGTATCATGTCCATTGGATAGGGTTGAGTGACTGAACTGTGTGAATGGTCCTGTGGGTGGGTGGGTGAGAGGGGTCATTAATCAAGTAATATCAGACTGGCTGTTTCATTGATCATCAGCCCCTCCCCCCAGACAGGGGGTATGTATACATTCCAAGAAGTAGGCCAATTGTCGTAGTGAGCAGGAAAGGATGTTTGTGAAGTATACGCATAGCAATAAAAAGGCACATTTTAACTTACTGTATTGGCTGATGTAACTACATGAAGTTCATGATGATCTGCTCAGATGCCATACTGTGCCCTTCTCCTGCAGTAACATTCATTAGACACACACACCAGCACTGACTATATATAGCTTAACTGGATATTGTTGCATGTGTAAGCAATAGCTAAGTTGGCGATGCAAAGTGCCAGATAGTAACTGCAGTTCATTATTACTCAGTCAATAAACACCATCAGCCAGCCAAAAGGTCTAGCTAAGTTAGCTACAGAAAGTAATGGAGAAATCTCACCTTTCTTCAGCAGATCGCTCTGGCCAGGCAGTTTAATCTTGTAGCATGTTGAGGGGCTATCTTACTTCCACTAGCTACTACTATTTAGCTAGCATGACTATAGCCAGTAGTCAGGTAGGGCTAGCTAGCCAGCCTGTTAGCTAGTCAGTAAGTTAGCCAGCGCAAACCAAATTTGTTCAGATGTAGAGTTTGTTCTATTGGTAAGCTAACTTCATGAGAAGTTCTGCATCTTTGCTAACATGAGCATTTTTATCTTCCTGTCACACTCAGTCTAATAAATGACTTGTGCTGCCAACCTAGGCTGTAAACAGCCCCCCCCCCCCAAGCCCCGTGAATAGTCTATAAGGGAGTGTGTACTTCCGGGTATGAACAAAACAAAAAACAAAAATCGGAATAAAGTGTTATTCCATGTACATTTTTGACACAATAAATGAGAAAACAAGTCGATTTCCGATTTTCAAATTCAGAAACGAGCCGTTTTCAGTTTTTCACGTATTTCGAATCAAATAACCCATGAATGTATGATACACGGACCACTAGCCTGCCACAATTCTGGTTGTCACTAGTTACCACAGCCACAAAGTAATAAACCTCGCATATTTCTACAATTCCTCTTTAAATTGTATTTTAACCCTAACCCTACCCACACTGATAACCTTATGCCTTACCTTAAACCAAAAAGGTCATTGTTTTCATAAATGTTTCATGATATAGCCAATGTTGACTTCGTGGCTGTGGTATCTAGTGGAAACCCCACTATTATTTTGCAAATAGTTAAATAAAACAGAACAAAATGTGATTTCTGCTAATTTTATTTTAACTTTTTCTTTTTATCCAATCAAATCATTTTAATTATCTGCTATTGCTGCAGAGGCTACATCATAGTGGGCAGTTTGTTTCTACTGTATCTCTTAAGATACTGAAAATAAATCAGGAACATAATGACAAAAATCTACTTCATGGTTGTGTCAAAGTGTGTATTTCACAACAGCGTGTCCTTTTTCAATATAACAGGGAAAACTTCAAAAATAAGTTTGACATTCAGATCTCAAAGAGATCAATGAGAACACAGCAACATGGCTGACAAATACAGATTTTCCTATAATCAACAACTTACACATTTATCAATAGGTTTCCGTATGTTTTGATCCTCATTCTAAAATTGCAGCACAGCTATCCATCTCAAAGCTCTGTAAACTATTCGTATTTAATAAATGATACAATGAAAAAGCATACATCAAATCAAATATGCATTTTTTGGGGGGGGGCCTACATAAATGAAAATGCATTTCACAAGGAGAACAATACTCATACCAATATAGACGGAGCAAAAACAATTAAAGGGGACAAACAATGCAGCAACCACGAGAGAGACCAAGCAGCAATACTGAAAAGGGCATGAACAACAAAATATCAAAAAAGTGCTTCAGTATTTCAGTCAGTTCACATTTCCTGTAGGTAATTAGGAACTAAGGTGATTCTCCTCCGGGAACTTGAAGGCACGTCTGACCCATGGTCTGACACAGGGACGCACCCGCGTATGACGCACCGCACAACTCCGAATCACCTTGCGATGCATTCCGTCTTGAACTGCGACCCAGTCTGCATTCCTGACTGAAAAAACTATTCTCACCAGCAACCATTATTGGCTAGTTTAAGCCTAGATTAGTATTGATGACAACATAGTTAGATCCTTATATGTATGAGTAAATGTATCCTTGTATATCCTTGTATATTTACAACAACAAGTAGCACAAAGATAGTCTACATTTACTCATACATACACTACCGATTGCCCCTGGCCGTCTTGAAATGTCCCACGTTATAATACAAGGAAATTGTACAAATACATTTTGAAGAGTAGGAATATAAGTTTCAGGGGCAGTTTTGTTCTAGTTTCACATAGTGTGAACCAGATTTTGCCCTCAATGGGGCTTTTCCTATCTTAAACAATTACACCCCTCCAAAATTGCCACTTTTCCCTTGTTTATGAAATGTTGAAAACACTTTTTCTAAAGACGTATTTCAGGTACAGGAGTGGTACCAGCCTCTGCCGTGTTGAGAATTTCCCTGAAATGTGCGGAGACGACAATAACACAATCCACCAACAACCAAACAGAGATCTGTCTTGGACTTTAGCTGTGTTTTTTAAAAACATTGTGACAGATGTACAATCCTCCCACAAAATTAGTTTTTGTCGTATAATAATCCAATGGCGATATCTTGCTCGAACAACAAGGCAAGACCCCCCATTGCTCAATGCCCAGTTATGAAGGTGAGGGAGCTAGACAGAGAGAGAAAAATAAAAAGGGAAAGAGGGAGGTAGAGAGAGAAAACAGTGTTTACAGCACAAATAAAGAGGGAGAGAATGAGAGAGGTATAGACTAGAGAAAAATAATAAAGAAAAGTGGGATGTGGAGTTGGAATTTGGAAACTGTGTCAATTGCACAATTGTTTGGGTTCTCCGCACCGCACACCGTTTCAGCCCTACTGGCTTTGGACTGTGTGGCGGGAGACTAACCAAATCTCGGGCCCCCTCATGGAGCCTCTCTGGTGGGGAGTGGGGATACCCCCTGGCTGGGCAGGCTGGTTCAGGGGCTCTGGAGTCTCTTGTCCCTCCCTGAGAGAGAGGGGGGGGTCAGTCGGTCGGGGACCTGGATCCACCAGGTCTGGTCTGATCTGGTTGTGGGGAGCAGCCACCGCCCCCAGGGCGGCGTCGTTACACCAGCGTGATCTCCACTTCCTCCCTCCTCTTCACCTGGCCATGAGGCTGCTGCGGCTTGGGGGGCGGCGGAGCAGCACGGACCTGTCCATAACATACAAACAGCTAGTTATTCCTTTGAGCTCCAAGTGGAACCTCAACGAGTGTATTTTCAAACCGGACAAGGGTCAGTATCCATACAGTATTTACGATGCTTTGTGTGTGTGTGTGTGATGACTTACAGGTCGAATGGTGCCCCCCGCACCACCATCTGTTGGGTACCTGGGGGGCTGGGTGGAGCTCTGGGCAGGACCTGAAGGTGAGGAGGGCAGACAGAATCATCAGCACCACGTCTTGGCATAGAAATCACTACAGGGTAGTGACATTGTGCCCTATTGAACAGATATGTCAAATGTCGGAATGAGTATTCTTAAAATCCATGCTGTTGTTTATTACTTGTCCATGTCCCTACTTTTTTTACATGGTCTATTTTGTGTGCATTTAATATGATAAATAACATAGCCTGGTCCCAGATCTGGTTGTGCCGTCTTGCCAACTCCTATGTTTGTTGTCATGCCACGGACTATAATACAGCACAAAACAGATCTGGGACCAGGCAATGAATGATGTGCATTGCGATAACATTTGATGTGCAAAATAATAAATAGTCAGCCTTTGAGGAGTGGTTCTTACTTTGCAAGTGGCCTTTGAGTGGTGCGGGTGGTGCCCTATGGTGGCCATTGATGGAGGGGGGGCGGGGTATGGGCGAAGCGCTGGCACTGGAGGGGCTGGACTGGAGCGAGGGCAGCGTGGGGGTCAGGAGGGGGCTGCTCTGACAGGGGCTGCTGTGGAGTGGGCCCAGATGGAAAGGGCTCTGCGGAGAGCGCTCGGAAAGAGGAGAGGGGGACGCCTGTAAGACGGCGCACTCCACAGAATTAAATAAAACAGTAATATATTGATTACTGTTATACAGTATCTTTATGATGTAAATGTATGGATGAGAATGTGAGCAAGACCTTTAAGTGTCCATTCATTGATTCATGTGTGTAAATAGCATAGAGATAGTTAGAGGACACAACATTGCATCTGTCCCATTATGGCGTCTGTGAAAGCATGGGCAGCGCCATTGAGGCCATCTCCATTTTGAAGTGGTACATTTTCTTCTTCTACTACTTCTAGGAGTTGGTAAACAAACTGAAAGGGTGCATACTGCCACCTGGAGTGTGTTGTTTGAACAGGTATAAAGCCAAGGTTGGCTCCTGATAACCTGGGTGGAATTATGCGATCCTTCTTTAACCCATAGGAAGTCCCACCCAGTTGACTACTTAAAAATGGTGAGTGGTAACCCATAGGAATTCCTCAATGGCGCTGCCCATGCTAAAACGGGCTTTTGGGCACTATTCCTCTATCCATCTCTATGGTAAACAGCTCCTAAGGTGGTTGCATACATGTGTGTACCTGCGGTCTGCTGCTTGCCTCTCCTTGGCCATCGCCATTCTCGCTGTCTCCACCGGCACCGCCTGATGCCAGAAGGTCCTCCACAAGCACGGCAGGGAAGACACCAACGGTGCCATTGAACTCGCCCTCCCAGAAGCCGTCATCCTCGTGGGTCTCGCGGCTCAGCACACGGATGACGGCGCCCTCAGGGAACGAGAGCTCCTCATCCGTCTGGCCCGCGTAGTCGTACAGGGCCTTGGCGAAGCAGACTGAGGGAGGGAGAGGGGGAGAGAGCGGAGGTGCAAAGGGGAAGTGGAAGAGGGAAGGACATTGTTTATTCAATGTGGGGCGAATCCTAACTTTTACATAAGTCCAATTTCCTTTTATCTCCCACTGACATCAATGCATGACTAAGTGAAAATCTGACTTAAGTGAAGGTCAGGATTCGCCTGTGAGCGAATGTTGAGTCATGCTCCAAACGTTTCGGACAAATTCACTGTCTCTCACCACTGCTGGAGTCTCCGTTGACGCTAGGTGTGCCCGGCGTGGGCAGCTCTGACTCGGCCAGCTCAGGCTCCGTAGAGTTACTGGAGGAGTGGGAGCGAGCGTCCAGGGCGGCCAGAGACTGGAGCATGCTCATTAGGCTGTTGGACGAGGGCAGCTGCAGGTACTTCTCCGGGACGTAGCCCACCTGGCCCGTCTGGTTCCTGGCCTAGAGACAATGTTGGAACACACACAGGGTTACCGTCAGTGATAGTGGGGCACACCGTAGCAACATGTTTTGTAATGGAAAACAAAACTAAGTTCTTATTGGACAAGTTGAAGTAGCACCTCCCCATTTCAAAACATTTTCTCCCCACTGGACACAACCCCTGGTGTGTAGGCGTATGATATGACTTCAGAGTACCTCTTGCTTTATTCTAGTTAAAACACAAACTGAGAGGTAGTGCATCTCTTGGACAGCACTCTGTACCTTGACCCAGTCCTCCATGTCCCCATCATCAATAACCTCCAGCAAATCCTGTTCCTCGATGGTCAGCTCATCTGGCTGAGAGGCCTGGGAGAGTAGGGAGAGGAAGGAGGTCATGTTTTATTACTGCTAGACTGCCACAGTAAATTCCATGAATATATTGTAGGTTGGAGCTGTATTTGTGAAGTAAGAACTTCAATATTATAAGGTGTGCTGCTCACAGGACCTATGTGGTACGAGTTACGGTACCATACTGCACCGCATCCAAGGCGCTGGGGTAATTGCCAGCTTAAAGATTTTGTGTACCTTGTATGAGTAGAGCACTTTGCAGGTGAGGGGGTAGTTCCTGAGGGTACTGGAGGGGCTGGAGCTGCTGTCGTCCAACACCTCTCCACTATCCTCCAGCTCCTCATCCTCCTCTAGGTCACCTGTACCCTAAAGACACACACAGCATGTTGGAGAGGATCCCTTTGAGCAAGGGAAGCCGCAGAATCGATACCTTTGATCACCTAGTGCAGGGGCGTCAAACTCATTCCATGGAGGGCCTAGTGTCTGCAGGTTTTTGGTTTTTCTTTTCAATTACGACCTAGACAACCAGGTGAAAGGAGTTCCTTGCTAATTAGTGACCTTGATTCATCAATCAAGTACAAGGAAGGAGCAAAAACCTGCACTCGGCCCTCTTTGGAATGAGTTTGACACTTGCCATAGTGAGAAGGTGATTTGTAGATCAGTGATCAGTGACTGCAAAATCTGTAGCTGTGTTAAACCAGCCTGATCTCGCAAGCTCACATGCTGTCAGTCAGGTTTCACAAGGCTAGTCAATCTCAAACACAAACACAGCACAGCACAGGCTAAACTAGCACCTTAAGGTTGAGAAACAGTGTCTTAAACATGCACCTCAGCTTCCTTATCATGTGATTTACCTGAGTCCGGCAAATTTCAGTAGGCAGGTATACAGGGGACAAAATGACAAATTGAGATGTGTTTGAGTGTATGCACAAAGATCTGAGAAAAAAAAGTAATGTTTGTCTCGTATTTGAATACATAATGTGTGTTTGTGACTCACGGTGAGTGAAGGATCATTTGCATTTAGGTTGGCCCACCGCTCGTTCTCCAGCTCCTCCATCACCTGGTTCATGGCACTCTTCAGCCATGTCTCCACGGTGATTCCTGCATCTCTCAGTAGGGCCAGACGAGCGTCCGCCTTCAGCTTCACGGTCTGGAGTTAGTGACATCATTGCATGTTTTGTCATATTATGAATTTCATTCTTATTCCCTCCTAATACCAGGAATCTACGAACTGGGATTTCTGGAAAAGCTGGGATTTTGAAACTCTAGTCATGACTCATGTTATAATAAAAAGCTCCATTAGAACTATGTTTTATGTATTCTGCCTTATCCACCAGCAGGGGGCATCAGAGGCAAGAGAGGCTAAGGTGAGAACCTGCTGGCCCACTGATAAACAAACCTCAGTAAGTGATCACACACGCACGCGTGAGCACTGGTGGGATCGTAACCATGGTCTCCTGCTCTGAAAACCAACGTCTTAACCAGTCCTTTTGGGCCAAGGGTGACACATTTTACGCTGCAGGCAGGACTACCTCATCCCAACACACCAACTAACCTTCACTACACACACACACACACACACACACACACACACACACACACACACACAAGTTAACCTCTGCTCTTCGCAGGTTCTCCCTGGCCTCCTCCATCTTGAGCTCCAGCTCGCTGTGGTTCTGCTCCGGCAGTCCCTGTTGTGTCCCATACTCCTCCAGGGCCTGAAAAGTCACAGGTAACATGTACAGAACAAATCAATCTTTAATAGTGGCGTCTGAAATGGCACCATATTCCCTACATAGTGCACTTTGTACAGTAGGGAATAGGGTTCCATTTGAGACACAGCCTATGACAAATCATAAAATAAACTACACCACCACACAGTGAAAAGGAGAAACCAAAACCAGATCACAATCAAAAGTAGGAAATACTAAAACAATATGGCCATGAAAATGAGAAATGCTGAAATAATCAAGCAATAACTGGTATACATTACAGTGAATAGAAGAAATTGTAAAACTATCACAGTTATAACATGACTAATTTAATATAATTTCCAGTAATGGGGTTGTTAAAGGGCCATGTTACATCCTGGTTTACTGGAAAACACTTGTCGGAGTTTGGCCAAGAACTACCTACATCCGTTTTCTTATCTCCAAGGTTTAACAACAAACCATCAGGCCAGTAGGGCGATGGTTAAACGTTTCCTCAACGTTCAAAGTTATCACTTCCCTCTGACACAGTGCAGGCATCATAAAACTGATTAATTATTAGTCTTTTATATTGGGGCTAATGATAACTCTGTGTCGAGTCAGTTGGAAGTGTACTGAAGTTGAACGGATCTGAGCCCGTATTCATAAAGTCTCTATAAATCCATGTAATCTTACTAAATTATTATCTAAAAGGCAGAAAACTCATCCTAGATCAGCACTCCTACTCTGAGACACAGCAAATATAGGCTATCCCTTTCTCTTGCTTTTTTATTTCAATCCCTCTCTCTCACCCTCTGACTGTGGATGATGCTCTTGTGTTCTCGTGCCACTCGGGTCGCCCACTTCCGTGCCTCCTTATCCAGACTGTGCTCCTCCGCTGTGCCACTCTCCTTCTGCAACTGCCTGACCTAGTGACCAGGGATGATGAGAGAGTTTAATAGTCTGATAATATTCAGCTAAACATATTCAGTGTCCGTCTCTAACCGTCTCTGCCCGTCTGTCCGTGTGTGAATAAAAACAGACATATTCACCTCCTAAATATTTATGGTTGGATATTGGAGCCGATATCCGTTTGAGGGTGAATGTTGGCAAATATTATGAAATTAGATTTCTGAGAAACTAAATCAAGGCAGCGTAGTAAAAACATCTATTGAATTCCACTATTGAGGCAGACGGCCAAACAAACCGAGTGTTTGTGTCGAAAGGAAAACAACCTAGAGGAAAACACTCACTCTATGGATGACCTCCCAAGAGGAACACAGCCAATCCACGCGTACCAATGGAATGAGAGGCAATGTCTCGAAATCAGGGATGTGATCAGGACAACATAGGAAAATGTGAAATGTCTGATATTTGCTTCGGGGTAGGTTGATTCCAATAATATAGGATTAGAAAGCGATCAGAAAAACAGGAATTCCAGATTAAAATGGAAACATTTGGTGTTTATTTATTTCCACAACTCATCTACAAGGCCTGAAGTCTCCGTCCAGGCCACTCTGGGGTGTACTCATTATATGTTCTGAACGTTGCAAAATAGAAATGGAACGAATAGAGCAGACACGGTTCTCTAGTCTACATGACCGACAATCAGATTTGTTCTACACAATACATTTATATCAGAACGTTCTGTAACACCAAGTGTTCATTATCAGAAGAAAACGGACTGAAACGGGGAGGGACATCCCTGGACTTGTCTAATAAGAAACGCTCATTCTCGTCTCCCGATACAAAATTATTTTATTTATAACAGAGAGCACTGGCTGTCTGATGGACACATGCAACAGGACTAGGAAGTTTGGTCTCACCTCTCCTCAGGAGGTGTATAGGTCAACCCCTATGACAGATGATGACCCCTGGCATGATTCATGCGCACACAGCTGACCTCTAATCTCTGAGCCCTGACAAAATAATCAACACAGTCTAAATGGCTGAATGTATAATTCGGAGTGCATTTAGCTATAAATAAGGAGAGAGAGTCAGACTCTTCTGTCATGATCTGCACATTATCTATTCTAAAACACAGACAGCCTGCTGTGGCACCCCTACCATTTGTACTTCAAATATTTGCATGTAAAAAAAAAACACGTTAGAAACATTTGTGAATGCAATATTTACTGTTCATTTCTAATATATATTTTTTTCTTGTTTTGTTTCTTCACGTTTTTATGTTTTGAATTACATGTCAATAAAACCCATTTGAATTACATGTGAATAAAGCCCTTTGAATTAAATGTCAGTAAAGCCCCTTTGAATTGAGAAAGCCAGAGCGTGCGAGAGCGCGTTAAAGAGAGAGCAAGGAGTGAGCGAAAGAGAACAGAGAAAGCGCGCGAGAGAGAGCGAGAGCTGTTCAATGTAGTCCATGCGTAAGGCCAATAAATCAGTGAACGAGAGCCACACTGAGTTCCTTTTAGAGGCCGAGGCAGCCAGGGGTGGAAGGGCGGAGGTGGGGGGCTGGAGTGAGCCCACTCTGACAAGGCCCCCTCACAATGCCCCCTTTTCACAGACGCCCTGTCTCTTTCAGTGCAGTTATTTTCCGGATACCTCCGTCATATTGCCAGGGAGGGGAAAGGGGTGGGGTGGGTTTGAGGGAGGTGGAGGGGGCAACTGCATCACTAAATATTTTCTTTAGGAACAGGCCACTGCTTGTTTGACTTCCAACGAAAACAACGAGGGTCTTGGAGACTTCTAACAAATTGTCCAGTGTAGCAGAGGGGCGGATGGGAATCAGAAGGGGGGGGGGGGGGGGAGACAAGTGCACTGGCGGGCAGACGGACGGACTGGCAGGCTGGGTCAGCTGAGAACAGGTTCCTCTGGGGCTCGCATGCACACACACCATACACACATGTGCACCATTTACACACACACACCATAAACCATACAAACAAACCTACGTGCAACACAAACACACTCACCAAAACACACGCATCACATGTAATGGACGTCACTGTCATTTAACAGCTTTGCTTCCTCTCTCACAAGTTCACTACTGGGATTGATTTTACCAATCCCAATCCTGTCTCACAATGCCTTAGCCAGTTACCCAAAGAAAAGCTAGCAATTCAATGGCACAGGTAGTGGCATTTCAAGTTGAGTGAGCTTACAAATTCAACTTGGTTACACATACGCACAAGCATGTACGGTAGAGCAGGTTAGCTAGCCTAAAAGAAGGACCAGTGGTTCTACGACATGGTAGCTTTAGCATAGCCAGTGTGTAGCGTAGCACTAGCCACCACGTTCCATGAGATAAGTATTTTACTTCTGCTTTTTTTTTCTCAACACATTTGTTGTTGTTGTTGTTGTTTTATTTTACTTTTTTATTAAAAAATAAATGCATTGTTGGTTAAGGGCTGTAAGTAAGCATTTCACGGTAATGTCTACACCTGTTGTATTCGGCGCATGTGGCAAATAAAATTTGATTTGATTTGAAGTAGCGTTAGCGTAGCACTACTACCCACCGTGTCAGTGTTGCTGGGTTGGAAGAGGATGGCTGGGGTGCTGTGGAACACTGGGTTCTGCTGTACAAACTGCTGCTGGTGGAAGTCCTGCATCACCTGAAGAGAACACACGCAGACACAGCCGTTTAGTTAACCTCATAATACAGCACAATAGAAGTACTAATAATCTGACAGAGGCATAAAGGGATTAGAATAGATAAAAGCTCATATTATCATGACAGAAGAGGCTTTACTCAATCCTTTGAGAGTTTATTATGTCATCTGGAGAGCGACCACACTGTTCTTACTTAAGTCAGGGCCATCGAAGGACCACTGACGGTCAGAGCAGAGTGCAGTATGACCTAAAGTCACAGGGGAGCGTTCACGGTCAACTCAAGGGTCATAGGAAGATTACCAGAGAGAGGTCAAAACTACACACCCACACACAGCCTGCTGTGGCGTCACGGTGAAAGAGGAACCATATGGGTCAGCGGGTAGAAATCTGACCCTTCTGGGGGATCTGGCACCTGCAGCTTGCTGCCTCACTGGAGATATACCCCATCAGATCCCAAAATATAAGCTTGTTTTACTCCAATGTTTGTAAACAACGTAAACAAACACTTACATAGCCTCAAAACTTGGTTAAAGCTATACATTTGATATCATGGATGGTCAATCTTTGTATCCATAACTCTGTTTATGAATTTGAGAGTGGATAACATTTCTCCAGCCCAATCCCTTAGCTTTTTAGCAAAACAGGGGTGGGGAGGTGCTTTGTTATTGTTTAAATGAACAATTCTAGCTTTAAAAGAAAAATGTGGACCTAAACAATGGTATCCATGCTAACTTGAACATCTGGGTTTTGAACATGGGTCTCCTGCACACTCCGAGCTAAAACCTAGGCATTAGGTCGGGGGAGTTAACGCGAGCATTCCGCTCTCAGGCAAGGTTCTGGACCGAACTACCTCTGTTTCACCAACTTCCCAGCATTCTCCGCATAAGAACTCTCCCATAGTAAAAAAAATAATAACTCAAATAAAAGCCTGGTCCCAGATCGGTTTGTGCTGTATAGCCAACATCATTCGACCATAGGAGTTGGCAAGACAGCACAAACAGATCTTGGACCAGGCTAGTTCAATGAATGCTAATATCTGGGGCCATATGTATCAAGCATCTCAGAATTCCCCATTCAAGTTCCTTTTCCTATACATTTTTCATCTGAAAGGCAAAACTGATTCTGGATCAGCATTCCTTCTCTTGAGACACTTGACACATACGGCCACTGGGCTAGTTTGTGTGCGCTCACCCCGTTGGAGCTCTCCAGGAGGATGTTGAAAGTGTTGTGAACAGCCTGGTAGGACTCAAGCTCCATCTGGCACAGAGAGACCAGGTAGTCCTTCACCTGCTCATAGATGTCCCCATCCAGGACCTGAGAAGCGCAGTCAACAGGGAAATGCAGCAATAACCCTCCATCTCACTCACTCACACATTGGTGATGGCGTTCCAGGTAGCCTGTTTTGCAGTCATGCTAACTATGACATAGCAATCGCCTGAGATATGAGGCAACTGCAAAAAAAAAAAGATGACCTGAAATGCCTCCATACTTGTGTGTGTGTGCCGACGCCTCACCTTAACGCAGTTGATCAGGTCAGTGTTGTAGTAGCGCTGCTGGTGAGCGTTAGCCGCAGCTAGCGTGAGGAGATAGTCGTTCCTGGCGTGGGTGGCTTTGGAGTTACATTCACTCCTCTTGGCTTTCAGCTGAAAACGTCAGTAAATTAGTTTGATAGTTGTTTTGGGTTTTTTTCATTCCCATATGCACTTGAGTTTGTGGTCATGGCCAATTGGCCATACATAAAATGTAATCATTTAATAACATGCCATTTAGCAGACGCTTTTATCCAAAGCGACTTACAGTCATGTGTGCATACATTTAATTATCTCACCTTTACACTGGCCCTCTGCAGACTGGACCTGGATTGGAAGAGACTCAGTTTGGACCTGGACAGAACAGAAGGTGAGATGGAACATGTAAGTGAACAGAGTCTCACAAGACCAGTGATTCCCTATAGTATTTTACATTGTCACTCCTGTACATTCGAGAGGACTGGATAGGTAGCGTTACGGCAATAGATCCACCTTGGCCTCAGATTTGTTACCCATCTGATCCTCTCAAATCTCCACAAGGCCGTAGGGGTAGGATTTTTTTGTTTCGTGTGTGTGTGTGTGTGTGTGTGTGTGTGTGTGTGTGTGTGTGTGTGTGTGTGTGTGTGTGTGTGTGTGTGCACATACTTGGCATCCTGCTCGGCCTTGTCCCTGACGGCCTGGGCCATGGTCTCTGTCTCCTGGTACTTCTTCCTGGTCTTAGCCAGCTCCTTCACAGAGTCCTGCAGCTCCGCCTGCACCAGCATCAGCTGGTCAGTACACTGGAGAATAGTGCTGAGCGATTAACCAACTTTTCTGTGGGGTTTCTGTTATTAAACAACTAATTGACCGACGTCGGATCAATTACTTTAATTCCATTTAGTTCGGGGTTTTTTTGTGAGCCCAACGCGCCGTTTCTCAATCAAATCATTCACGTGATAAATCATAACAAGAACTATGTGGGACGCTGGGCTGAAGGGAGTTGTAGTTTTCATTAAGCAAATATTCAACCTAGTTCAGAACAGAAACATGGTAACTAACTACAATGACCGTAAGCCATTACCATAACCCAAACAACTTTTTTTGTGTCTCAAACGAATCAGAGAGGACGAGGCGAAGCGAGAGATTTCACTTTCGGCAAAATCTGTCTATTGATTTATTTTGGACCTTAGCTTGTTGCCTGGCTTCCTGCCTTTGGGACAACGACTCCCATTGTTAAGGCGTAAACATAAGCATCTCGTCATTATATACAGATCTCTGGACGGATACACTTTACGCCTGCTACATTAGGTTAGACACACATAGACTGCATGAGAGAAGAATGTACACAACAACGACAAGAGGGACAAAGACAGTTCGTGAAAGTATGCCTTATCTACTTTGAAGAACTAGTAAAATGACTGTCAGACAGCTCTGCAGCATAATATGCAGTTTAGCTAAATATGAAGACCGTACAGTATGGGGAGCACATACCATTATATGGCCTGGCTGGCTGACTGCAACTGCCTGAGCAGAGATGATTACTTTAAGGAATGAAAAATAATAAAGCCATTAAAATAAAAACTAAGTAGCTGAAATATTGCATAGTAATTTACTATTTTTCTATTGATGGCTACCCAATGTGGACCTGACAGAGACAATGAAATATTACCAATGTTCACTATTTTTGGCTTTGGAATTTCCATTAAAAAGCTCTTTCATTTTTTTTATTTTTTTATTTAAATAATCGAAACCGTGATAATTTTTTAAATAATTGAACCGAAACCTAACAGACCTGAAAGAGCACTAATAGCTCAGCACTACTGGAGAAACAACCAGAGGACATAGTCAGCTGGTCAATACACATACAGTCAGCTGGTACAGTATCAAATATACTTAGATATATCCAGACTCATTGCTAATACAGTTACCCGAGCCATGGCTTGCTTCCTTCACTCAGACACAGGCAGTACAGGAGCATCATGGCGATAACTGGAAGACTGGCCAATAGCTTCTACCCCCAGACCATGAATAGCCACTAGGCAGCTTCCTGCGCCCTCACCCTTTAATTGCATCTGCCTGTACATGTGACTAATAAACTCAAACTAATCTAATAACATGCCCATCCTATTGGTAGCCATTCTAAGATGTTTGTACTAAGAGTGAATATGATATTCCTATTAGGTCAGTCAGGGTGAACAAGAGGGTGCTAGTTGATGGTAGCCAGTGGAACATGGACTGAGGTAAATAGAGAGCAAGTGTTGGTCAAAGCCTGACAGCCAGTGATAATATGGACAGGGTGGCCATGTGGCCAACTCTTAGCTGATATTGAAGCAAAGTGTCCAGGCTAGACCATGTTCAGTAGGGCGAAAACGTTTCAGAATTGACTACAACAGGGAGATAAGGTTTTGCTAGAGTGTGCCCAACTGAACATGACCCAGTATATGAGAACGGCGTACCAAGAAAAATGTTGTTTGCTGAAGCGAAGGCCCACCTGAACTATGATGACTGAGTATATATTAATACAGTGCCTTGCAAAAGTATTCAGACCCCTTGGATTTCTTCACTTTTGTGTTACAAAGTGGGATTAAAATGGATGTCATTTTTTTGTCAACAATTTACACACAACACTCTAATGTCAAAGTGGAAGAACTATTATTTATTTTTTAAGATAAATACATTCATAACTAAAATAGTCATTGCATAAGTATTCAGCCATTTTTGTTTAGGCAAGCCTACATTTGTTCAGAAGTAAGATTTGGCATAAGAAATCACATAAATTACATGTCCTCACTCTGTGTGAAATAATAGGGGTTGACATGATTTTTTAAAGACTAACCCTTCCTCTGTCCCCCATACATACAACATATGTTAGGTCCCCCAGTCAAGTATTGAATTTCAAGCACAGATTCAACTGCAAACATCAGGGAGCTTTTCGAAAGCCTCATAAAGGGCAGTGATTGGTAATGGATAACACTAACAAATCAGACACTGAATATCTCTAAGCATGGTCAAGTTAATAATTATGCAGTGGATGATGTATTAAACCACCCAGACACCAAGACACAGTCATCTTTCTGATCTGAAGGAAAGGAATTAAACTTCCCAGGGATCTTACCATGACGCCATTGGTGATTTTAAAACAGCTACAGAGTTCAATGGCTGTGATTGGAGAAAACTGAGGATGGATCAACAACATTGTAGTCGACTCCACAATAATGACCTAAATGACAGAGTGAAAATCTATGGCAAGACTTAAATTGCTGTATAGCCATGATCCCCAATATGTTGACAGAGCTTGAATAATTTAAAAAAGATTGATGGACAAATATTGCACAATGCAGGTGTGCAAAGCTCTTAGAGACACACCCCAGAAGATTCACAGCGGTAATTAATGCCAAAGGTGTTTCTAACATGTATTGACTCAGGGAGCTGAATACTTATGCAACGACTACACATTTTTCAAAAATGTTATAATATTTCTTCCACTTTGACATTTTAATATTTTGTGTAGACTGTTGACAAAAAAATTACAATTCAATTCACTTGAATCCCACTTTAACACAATAACATTTGAATAAATCGAAGGGGTCTGAATACCTTTGCACAGCAGTGCATTCAGAAAGTATTCAGACCCCTTGACTTTTTCCACATTTTGTTACATTACAGCCTTATTCTAAAATGGATTTTAAAAAAGGTTTCTCATCAATCTAAACACAATACCCCACAATGACAAAGCAAATACAGGTTTAGACATTTTTGCAAATTTATAAAAAATAAAAAACAGAAATATAACATTTACATTTTACATTACATTACATTTAAGTCATTTAGCAGACACTCTTATCCAGAGCGACTTACAGTTAGTGAATACATATTTTATTTTTTATTATAGTTTTTTTTCTTCATACTGGTCCCCCGTGGGAATCGAACCCACAACCCTGGCGTTGCAAACGCCATGCTCTATCAACTGAGCTACATCCCTGCCGGCCATTCCCTCCCCTACCCTGGACAACGCTAGGCCAATTGTGCGCTGCCCATGAGTCTCCCGGTCGCGGCCGGCTGCGACAGAGCCTGGATTCGAACCAGGATCTCTAGTGGCACAGCTATCACTGCAATGCAGTGCCTTAGACCACTGCACCACTCAGGATACATTTACATAAGCATTCAGATCCTTTACTCAGTACTTTGTTGAAGCACCTTTGGCAGTGATTACCGCCTCAAGTCTTCTTGGGTATGACGCTACAAGCTTGGCATTTGGGGAGTTTCTCCCAATCTTCTCTGCAGATCCTCTCAAGCTCTGTCAGGTTGGATGGGGAGCGTCGCTGCACAGCTTTTTTCAGGTCTCTCCAGAGATGTTCGATCGGGTTCAAATCCAGGCTCTGGCTGGGCCACTCAAGGACATTCAGAGACTTGTCCCGAAGCCACTCCTCTTGGCTGTGTGCTTAGGGTCGTTGTCCTGTTGGAAGGTGAACCGTAGCCCAGTCTGAGGTCCTGAGCGCTCTGGAGCAGGTTTTCATCAAGGATCACTGTACTTCGCTCCGTTCGTCTTTCCCTCGATCCTGACTGGTCTCCCACTCCCTGCCGCTGAAAAACACCCCCACAGCATGATGCTGCAACTACCATGCTTCACCGTAGGGATGGTGTAAGGTTTCCTCCAGGCGTGACGCTTGGCATTCAGGCCAAAGAGTTCAACCTTGGTTTCATCAGACCAGAGAATCTTGAGTCCTTTAGGTGTCTTTTGGCAAACTCCAAGCGGGCTGTCATGTGCCTTTTACTGAGGAGTGGCTTCCATCTGGCCACTCTACCATAAAGGCCTGATTGGTGGTGTGCTGCAGAGATGGTTGTCCTTCTGGAATGTTCTCCCATCTCCACAGAGGAACTCTGGAGCTTTGTCAGAGTGACCATCGGGTTCTTGGTCACCTCCCTGACCAAGGCCCTTCTTCCCCGATTGCTCAGTTTGGCCGGGCAGCCATCTCTAGGAAGAGTCTTGTTGGTTCGAAAATTCTTCCATTTAAGAATGGAGGCCACTGTGTTCTTGGGGACCTTCAATGCTGCAGACATTTTTTGGTACCCTTCCCCAGATCTGTGCCTTCGACACAATCCTGTCTCGGCGCTCTATGGACAATTCCTTCGACCTCAAGGCTTGGTTTTTGCTCGGACATGCACTGTCAACTGTGGGACCTTATAAAGACAGGTGTGTGCCTTTCCAAATCATGTCCAATCAATTTACCACAGATGGACTCCAATCAAGTTGTAGAAACATCTCAAGGATGATCAATGGAAACAAGATGCACCTGAGATCAATTGAGTCTCATAGGTATCCGTTTTTTATTTGTAATACATAAAAAATGTTTGTTTTAATCCATTTTAGAATAAGGCTGTAACGTAACAAAATGTGGGAAAAGTCAAGGGGTTTCCGAATGCACTGTATACACTGGTTTGTATCCAAAGAACAGCAGACTTCCCCTTAGAAAGTGGAAGAAATATCCACATACAGTGGATATTTGCCCACTGACAAAGACATGATCAGTCTATACTTTTTATGGTAGGTTTATTTGAACAGTGAGAGACAAAATAACAACAAAAAAATCCAGAAAAACGCATGTAAAAAATGTTTTAAATTGATTTGCATTTTAATGAGTGAAATAAGTATTTGATCCCTCTGCAAAACATGACTTAGTACTTGGTGGCAAAACCCTTGTTGGCAATCACAGAGGTCAGACGTTTCTTGTAGTTGGCTACCAGGTTTGCACACATTTCAGGAGGGATTTTGTCCCACTCCTCTTTGCAGATCTTCTCCAAGTCATTAAGGTTTCGAGGCTGATGTTTGGCAACTCTAACCTTCAGCTCCCTCCACAGATTTTCTATGGGATTAAGGTCTGGAGACTGGCTAGGCCACTCCAGGACCTTAATGTGCTTCTTCTTGAGCCACTCCTTTGTTGCCTTGGCCATGTGTTTTAGGTCATTGCCATGCTGGAATACCCATCCATGACCCATTTTCAATGCCCTGGCTGTGGGAAGGAGGTTCTCACCCAAGATTTGACGGTACATGGCCCCGTCCATCGTCCCTTTTATGCGGTGAAGTTGTCCTGTCCCCTTAGCAGAAAAACACCCCCAAAGCATAATGTTTCCACCTCCATGTTTGACAGTGGGGATGGTGTTCTTGGGGTCATAGGCAGCATTCCTCCTCCTCCAAACACAGCGAGTTGTGTTACTAAATCACGGCGTAGTGTGTTACTAATTGTTTTCTTGGTGACTATGGGCCCAGCTGCCTTGACAAGGTCCTCCCGTGTAGTTCTGGGCTGATTCCTCACCGTTCTCATGATCATTGCAACTCCATGAGGTGAGATCTTGCATGGAGCCAAAGGCAGAGGGAGATTGACAGTTCTTTTGTGTTTCTTCCATTTGCGAATAATCGCACCAACTGTTGTCACCTTCTCACCAAGCTGCTTGGCGATGGTCTTGTAGCCCATTCCAGCCTTGTGTAGGTCTACAATCTTGTCCCTGACATCCTTGGAGAGCTCTTTGGTCTTGGCCATGGTGGAGAGTTTGGAATCTGATTGATTGATTGCTTTTGTGGACAGGTGTCTTTTATACAGGTAACAAACTGAGATTAGGAGCACTCCCTTTAAGAGTGTGCTCCTAATCTCAGCTCGTTACCTGTATAAAAGACACCTGGGAGCTAAAAATCTTTCTGATTGAGAGGGGGTCAAATACTTATTTCTCTCATTAAAATGCAAATCAATTAAAAACATTTTTGACATGCGTTTTTCTGGATTTTTTTGTTGTTATTCTGTCTCTCACTGTTCAAATAAACCTACCATTAAAATTATAGACTGATCATTTCTTTGTCAGTGGGCAAACGTACAAAATCAGCAGGGGATCAAATACTTTTTCCCCTCACTGTATCCTGAACTGTTTCAGACATTTCAACTCACCAGCTGTATAAATGGAGACATGCGTAAAATAATCTAAGCCATGTGAGAGCGCGAGACGGTGAGCGGGAGTCTGCAAACTATGAAAAGCTAAGCAGTGTTGTGGTGGTTTGGCCTCCATACCTTCCTGAGCTGCTGCTCCTTCTGCAGCCTGGCAGTCTTGGCTGGGTCCGTCACCTGGTTCCTGTAGTTCTCACAAGCCGTGATCCTGGTTTGGCTCACTTGCACTGTGCCCTCCAGGTATGCCTTCCACAACGTGTACATGTTCCTGTGACAACACAGACACACACACAATAGTCAGTGTGAACACTGGTAACATCCCTGATATTTGTTTATGTTCTTGGCTGTGACGACAATACAAGAACTGTTGGTTCAACCAGTTAATTAATCTGTTGAACAATAACCTTTATTTAAAAAGGCAATGACAATTCAGACATGAGAGGACCTGGATAGCACAAAATATCAAAGAGACTAGCAAAAAATGGCAAATTAAAATATATAGCTTTCAATAATACACACTGATACTGGTAGTACTATTACGGAAGAAGAATACTTGAGAGAGAGAGAACGAGCGACACATTTCTGACGCTGCTGAGACAATAACTGTTCACTCTTTGGCGAGAGGTCTTACCTGTGGTCTGTTGGCTCCTCTGATAGGCTGTCTGGCCATTCCCTTTTCAGGTACTGATTGGCCAGCTTGTGTAGAGCCTGGGAGGGAGGAAGAGGATAGATGACCTTTAACCTCTGAACTCCAGATCTACTTACTGAACTTGTCCACTAAGAAACGCTCATTTTCGCTTTCCATTACAAAACGTTTTGCTACAGTATGCCCTAATGAACATGACCCTAAACCATAATCTGTGTGAAGATTGATCAAAAGTAGTGCAGCACAATGTAGGGAATAGGGTGCCATTTCAGACGCAGCCATGGATTCATTCACCTGTACTATCTAGAGAAGGGGTATTCAACTCTTACCCTACGAGGTCCGGAGCCTGCTGGTTTTCTGTTCTACCTGATAATTAATTGCACGCACGTCCTGTCCCAGATCGAAATCAGTCCCTGATTAGAGATGAACAATGAAAAAATGCAGTGGAACTGGCTTCGAGGTCCAGTTGAGTTAAACCACAGCAGCATCCCCATTTTTGGTCTTTAGTATGAGATTGTGATTGGGGGGAGCTTGTTCTCCATCTTTTTAAATAGGGAGCCAATTAGTTTTCAGCACTTTTATTTCCATGACTGATCAAAACTTGTTTTCTCATGGCTCTCTTGTCCCTCTGCAGCAGACATATGGTGAGCAATATGTTTGGAACATCAAATCGCAGTATCGAATCGAAATACATATCGGCACCTAAGTATCATGATAATATCGTATTGTAAGGTCCCTCAGAAATTCCCAGCCCTAATATGTTCGCAAAAACGTGCACACGCACAGGGCTATACAGAGCACATTCTCAGCTGAATAGAAAGACAGGTGATCTAAATCGGGACTTAAAGTTCATGCAGGGCGGTCAGTTCAATCTACCCAACGCCTATGGTCATTGCCATACCAAAACAACGATTTGAGTTGGCTATACAGCACCAACAGATCTGGGACCAGGCTACAGTCAATCCACAAGGGGGACACACTCCCGTCCTGACACACTTTAGGCCCAGACTCTAAACCCTTTGGTCTCTCTCGGTTCTGGTGTCAAAGCCCCAAACGGCAGAATCCACCCCACAAACCCAGCCATTGTGGGAGTCACAGAGAGTGCAGCCAGCAGGGTGTGAGGGAAGCGGGGGATGGACAGAGGGAGGAGGGGATGGGAGGATGGGGTAAGGGACAGACAAAGAAAGTCATTTTATCACTTACTGTGATTTGAATATCAAATCGGGTCATGGCAGCATGCAGGTGTTAAGAGAGATGAAAAATAGAGGGATAGTGAAGAAGAGGCAGAAGGAGGAGGGGTAGGCTAGAGGAAAAGAAGAGTTTCAAAGTCCACTGTGACCCACTTTGATTTAACAGTCAAACTCTACTCTCTAATTTGGCACCAAAAAACAGACACCATTTAACCTGAACAGGTCCAATAAAGCCTGTTGCTTTTACCAGGGTCCTGTTCATTAGGGCAAATGAATGAGAGTTTCATATTCTGTTTCAGTTTCTTTTAGTTCAGAGACCAAAGAAGACAGCCGAGTGAGAAAAATACTCCTGTTGCATCATCTGTCTGTCATTGAAACATGTTGGGAAAGTCATATTGATTGCATGTACCGCCTCATTGCTGAACAACTACACAGTGTGTGCTCTTGGTGTAAGGCGAAGGTGCCCCTAGATGTTGATTTTGGGTCCGTTTTACATTTTCCCGACTAATTGTCAAAGGGGCAATCTGCCTTCAAACAATAACAAAGCGGTCACACCCCACCACTGATTTGGTAAACAGCTGATGATGGGGCTGGTGGAAATGTAACCACTCAAATTCATGGGCAGAGCTATGGATGCAAGGACTAACCATCCGTGAGATCTAATTTATAGTGTTAACCATGTTTTGAGCCTATACAGTTTTTTTTTTTTTTTACAATTACATTGATTACAAACATTGGATTAAAAGAAACATGGGGTACGACAGTTGAACTAAGCTCATGAGGCATTTATAAGTTGTATACTTCAAGAATCCAATGGCTGGTGCCGGAGTCTGGTGTAGCGGACCACAAATTCCCCCTGGCGACCAGGGTTCCAGTCCCATCTTGGCCACCGTCTGTCTATGGCCCCATCTCTACATTTCCCACTGTACTGTAAATCATTTAAATATATATATATATATATATATATATAATCACACCCAGTACCAGTCAAAAGTTTGGATATACCTACTCATTCCAGGGTTTTTCTTAATTTTTACTAGTTTCTACATTGTAGAATAATAGTGAAGCCATCAAATCTATGAAATAACACATATGGAATCATGTAGTGACCAAGAAAGTGTTAAACAAATCAAAATATATTTTATATTTGAGATTCTTCAAAGTAGCCACCCTTTGCCTTGATGACAGCTTTGCACAAGCTTGGCATTCTCTCAACCAGCTTCATGAGGTAGTCACCTGGAATGCATTTCAATTAACAGGTGTGCCTTGTTAAGTTAATTTGTGGAATTTCTTTCCTTCTTAATGCGTTTGAGACAATCAGTTGTGTTATGACAAGGTAAGGGTGGTATACAGAAGATAGCCCTATTATGTAAAAGACCAAGTCCATATTATGGCAAGAACAGCTCAAATAAGCAAAGAGAAACGACAGTCCATCATTACTTTAAGACATGAAGGTCAGTCAATATGGAACATTTCAATAACTTTTAAAGTTTCTTCAAGTGCAGTCGCAAAAACCATCAAGCGCTATGATGAAACATGAGGACCGCCACAGGAAAGGAAGACCCAGAGTTGCTGCAGAGGATAAGTTAATTCAAGTTAACTGCACCTCAGATTGCAGCCCAAATAAATGATTCACAGAGTTCAAGTAACAGACACATCTCAACATCAACTGTTCAGAGGAGACTGCGTGAATCAGGCCTTGAGAGTCAAATTGCTGCAAAGAAACCACTACTAAAGGACACCAATAATAAGAAGAGACTTGCATGGGCCAAGAAACATGAGCAATGGACATTAGACCGGTGGCAATCTGTCCTTTGGTCTGATGAGTCCAAATGTGAGATTTCTGGTTCCAACCGCCGTGTCTTTGTGAGACGCAGAGTAGGTGAACGGATGATCTCGGCATGTGTGGTTCCCACAGTGAAACATGGAGGAGGAGGTGTGATGATGTGGGGGTGCTTTGCTGGTGACACTGTTGGTGATTTATTTAGAATTCAAGGCACACTTAACCAGCATGGTTACCACAGCATTCTGCAGCGATACGCCATCCCAACAGGACAATGACCCAACACACCTCCAGGCTGTGTAAGGGCTATTTGACCAAGAAGGAGAGTGATGGAGTGCTGCATCAGATGACCTGGCCTCCACAATCACCCGACCTCAACCCAATTTACATTTTAGTCATTTAGCAGACACTCTTATCCAGAGCAACTTACAGTTAGTGAGTGCATACATTTTCATACTGGCCCCCCGTGGGAAACGAACCCACAGCCCTGGCGTTGCAAGCGCCATGCTCTACCAACTGAGCTACAGGGGACAATTGAGATGGTTTGGGATGAGTTGGAACGCAGCGTGAAGGAAAAGCAGCCAACAAGTGCTCAGCATATGTGGGAACTCCTTCAAGACTGTTGGAAAAGCATTCCAGTTGAGAGAATGCCAAGAGTGTGCAAAGCTGTCATCAAGGCAAAGGGTGGCTACTTTGAAGAATCTAAAATCTAAAATATATTTTGATTTGTTTAACACTTTTTTGGTTACTACATGATTCCATGTGTTATTTCATAGTCAATGTAGAAAATAAAGAAAAACCCATGAATGAGTAGGTGTGTCCAAACTTTTGACTGGTACTGTATGTATGTATGTATGTATGTATGTACAGCGAGGGAAAAAAGTATTTGATCCCCTGCTGATTTTGTAAGTTTGCCCACTGACAAAGAAATGATCAGTCTATCATTTTAATGGTAGGTTTATTTGAACAGTGAGAGACAGAATAACAACAAAAAAATCCAGAAAAACGCATGTCAAAAATGTTATAAATTGATTTGCATTTTAATGAGGGAAATAAGTATTTAACCCCCTCTCAATCAGAACGATTTCTGGCTCCCAGGTGTCTTTTATACAGGTAATGAGCTGAGATTAGGAGCACACTCTTAAAGGGAGTGCTCCTAATCTCAGCTTGTTACCTGTATAAAAGACATGTCCACAGAAGCAATCAATCAATCAGATTCCAAACTCTCCACCATGGCCAAGACCAAAGAGCTCTCCAAGGATGTCAGGGACAAAATTGTAGACCTACACAAGGCTGGAATGGGCTACAAGACCATCACCAAGCAGCTTGGTGAGAAGGTGACAACATTTGGTGCGATTATTCGCAAATGGAAGAAACACAAAATAACTGTCAAGCTCCCTCGGCCTGGGGCTCCATGCAAGATCTCACCTTGTGGAGTTGCAATGATCATGAGAAGGGTGAGGAATCAGCCCAGAACTACACGGGAGGATCTTGTCAATGATCTCAAGGCAAGGACTGAAATCCTGCAGTGCCCGCAAGGTCCCCCTGCTCAAGAAAGCACATATACAGGGCCGTCTGAAGTCTGCCAATGAACATCTGAATGATTCGGAGGAGAACTGGGTGAAAGTGTAGTGGTCAGATGAGACCAAAATCGAGCTCTTTGGCATCAACTCAACTCGCCGTGTTTGGAGGAGGAATGCTGCCTATGACCCCAAGAACACCATCCCCACCGTCAAACATGGAGGTGGAAACATTATGCTTTGGGGGTGTTTTTCTGCTAAGGGGACAGGACAACTTCACCGCATCAAAGGGACGATGGACAGGGCCATGTACCGTCAAATCTTGGGTGAGAACCTCCTTCCCTCAGCCAGGGCATTGAAAATGGGTCGTGGATGGGTATTCCAGCATGACAATGACCCAAAACACACGGCCCAGGCAACAAAGGAGTGACTCAAGAAGAAGCACATTAAGGTCCTGGAGTGGCCTAGCCAGTCTCCAGACCTTAATCCCATAGAAAATCTGTGGAGGGAGCTGAAGGGTCGAGTTGCCAAACGTCAGCCTCGAAACCTTAATGACTTGGAGAAGATCTGCAAAGAAGAGTGGAACATAATCCCTCCTGAGATGTGTGCAAACCTGGTGGCCAACTACAAGAAACGTCTGACCTCTGTGATTGCCAACAAGGGTTTTGCCACCAAGTACTAAGTCATGTTTTGCAGAGGAGTCAAATACTTATTTCCCTCATTAAAATGAAAATCAATTTATAACATTTGACATGCATTTTTCTGGATTTTGTTGTTGTTATTCTTTCTCTCACTGTTCAAATAAACCTACCATTAAAATTATAGACTGATCATGTCTGTCAGTGGGCAAACGTACAAAATCAGCAGGGGATCAAATACTTTTTCCCCCTCACTGTATATATATATATATATATATATATATTATTTTACTGCTCTAGGGATATAATTATTGTTTGAATAACCTTATTTACTATTATGTATTGATTTTTACCTTTCATTTATTCACTCTTTATGTGATGCGCACTGCAGAGAACACTAAGAAGAATTGTCACTGAATTACCACAGTGAATTATTGTAATGTTTGTTTATGTGTCAGTTAATCCCATAAGGGATGGGTTGCCAATTGGCGATTTGATACGAAAATAAAATGTCATTCATTTCATTCATTAATATAATAATAATCCTTAAAAATATGTTTTACAAAATAATCAAATGGGTATTAACATTAATATAAAAATAAAAAATATATTTAAGGTTAGGATTGAGGGAGGGGAAGCTGATCCTAGATCTGTACCTAGGGGAAACTTCACACCGGAGTCAAATATTTTTTATATAACTAACCCAAGATAGACCACAGCCTGTCATTTCCAATGGTAGCAAATTAATCATAGTGCAGGCAAGCAGATCCAAGAACGAGCTAGCGGTATGCTATTGGCACGTTCTAGCATGTATTGGCATATTTCCTTCAGGGAACGCCTACTCTGTGAAGTGCCAAGTGCAATAATTAAATTCACCCTTGTACTTTAAAAACTTTGGCAAAGTGTAAAGTCTACAAAATGTTGGCGAGTGGAAATGCCAACCGAATGCTTTAGATTCATACATCCGGTGAAACATCTGGCTCATTGTTCCATCTGTGCTGGAGTGTGTGCTCTTTAGGGAAATCAAAATGGCTATAATCAAATTACCTATTATGAGTCACTGGAAAAAAATTGCCACAAACACACTACAGGTAGCCAGGGGGTGTATTCATTAGGCACCAAACAAAATAAAAAACAGGGAGGGACTACCTGAATAAGACATGCTCATTTCCGTTTTCCAATGGCTACCGTGTGCCCTAACGTATACAACCCAAGGTGCATATCACTCAGTTTGATGTCTCAATGAGACAGAATATACACAGTGTACAAAACATTATCTTCCTAATATTGATTTGGATCCCCTTTTGCCCTCAGAACAGCCTCAATTCGTCAGGGCATGGACTCTACAAGATGTCGAAAGTGTTCCACAGGGATGCTGGCCCATGTTGACTCCAATGCATTCCACAGTTGTGTCAAGTTGGCTGGTAGTGGATCTCTACTCCAAATAGCTCGTTCCATCTCATCCCACAGATGCTCAATTGGATTGAGATCTGGTGACTGTGCAGGCCTCTTCACGACTGTGTTGGTGTGTTTGGACCATGATAGATCCTTAGTGATGTGGACACCGAGGAACTTGAAGCTCTCGACCTGCTCCACTACAGCCCTGTCAATGTGAATGGGGGTGTGATCGGCCCTCCGTTTCCTGTAGTCCACGATCAGCTCCTTTGTCTTGCTGACGTTGAGGGAGAGGTTGTTGTCCTGGCACCACACTGCCAGGTCTCTGACCTCCTCCCTTTAGGCTGTCTTGTCGTCGGTGATCAGGCCTACCACCATCGCGTCATCGGCAAACTTATTGATGTTGTTGGAGTCGAGCAAAGCCACGCAGACGTGCATGAACAGGGAGTGCAGGAGGGGACTAAGCACACACCCCTGAGGGTTCCCTTTGCTGAGGGTCAGCGTGGTGGATGTGTTGTTGCCTACACTCACCACATGGGGGAATCCCATTAGGAAGTCCAGGATCCAGTTGCAGAGGGAGGTGTTCAGTACCAGGGTCCTTAGCTTAGTGATGACATTGGAGGGCACTATGGTGTTGAACGCTGAGCTGTAGTCAATGAACAGCATTCTCACGTAGGTGTTCCTTTTGTCCAAGTGGGAAAAGACAGTGTTGAGTGCAATAGAGATTGCGTCATTTGTGGATCTGTTGGGGCGGTATGCGAATTGGACTGGGTCCAGGGTGTCTGGGATGATGGTGTTGATGTGAGCCATGACCAGCCTTTCAAAGCATTTATGGCTACAGATGTGAGTGCTATGAGGCGATAGTCATTTAGACAGGTTACCTTGGCGTTCTTGGGCACAGGGACTATGGTGGTCTGCTTGAAACATGTATTAGACTTTTGGGAGTGTGTGTGTGTGTGTGTCTGTGCCTGCGCTGCACTTTACATAATGAGTCTCAGAGTAGTAATTAAGAGGGGTTTCATAACTGTAACGCTATCTGACAGTTTCTCTGAGGTCACCGTGCGCGACCTGAAGCAGGGTCATATTCACTAAGCGGAAGAAAACAGACTGAAACAAGGAGGGACTACCTGGGGTCTATTCATTAGTGCACATTGTTGCGAAATGTTTTGCAATGAAAAATGAGTTTCTATTGGAAAACTGTAAGTAGGTCCCTCCCAGTTCCTTTCAGTTTGTTTCTGTTTGCTATCATTTGGTTCCTAGTAAATACACCCCTGAACCTGTCCAATAAGAAACAGTTGTTTTTGTTGCATAATGTTTTGCGACAGCATTCACTAATGAATACGACCCAGGAATTATCAGCCTTAGAGTGAGTTACTGCTTCAACAATGTGACAGGATGTGCCCTTGCAACCAAACATGCTGAGCATACAGTTCGACAGGTGCAGAAATGAACACAATACTGATGAAAAACATTGTATAAATTCAGACATGCAGTTTTACTACAGACCCAGTTAGATGTACAAAGTACACACACACAGTGACAGGATGTCAACAGCAGGGCTGCGTGATGACCTTTAACCTCTACTGGGATACCAGCACATTGCTGTGAGGCCCTGAGTGTCTTGGAGAGAGAGGGAGAGGTAGAGAGAGAGACAGATACAAAGAGACAGTGCGAAGACAGCTAATCTCTGCAAGAGTAGCCTAAGTATATATTGTCTTTCAATAAATGTTGTTGTTGGTATAGTCTGGCTAGATCAATTCTAGTTAAGTGCTGCCCTTCTACCTAGTAGCCTACTTAATCATTGATTTGAACTGCTGAATGCTCAGTACTTGTGCCTGTGAAGTGTTGGAACATTGACTTTGACTGGTTTCAGATCAATTTGTGATAGCTTTCTGATAATTGGCGGATGTGTGTTGGAGGGGGTATTATTCTTCACCTCTGCTAGGCAATCAGCAATTAGTTATAGTGCTTCAGTTGCCCCTATTCTTTCAGCGGTGGCGTTGTCATGCGGCGGCGTTGTCGCCCGAAACAAAAATTTTCTGCCGAGTTATTCGAGGAAGGAAAGAGAGAAAGGCTTCACACCACTCTCTCACTTGAGTATCTTACCTAGTTATTTTCAGATTTTCATTTTGCTCTTTTGTAGCTTTGTCAAGTATGTGTGTGATTTCTATCACTGTTCGCTCCTCTCTCTGTAGGTTTTACAGACGCTCCCCGCCCCGTGGCTGCAACCCTTCTAACCTAGTGTACCCTGTGAGCACAACCCATGTGGATTTCCTAGTCTCCGGCAGTCTTTGGAACAGCCAATCTGTGGTTAAGGCTGAGTTAATCTCAGCCTGTTGCCCTTCAGTCCCTACACTTTTTGGCCCTGATGGAGACATGGATCACCCCAGAGAACACTGCTACTCCAGCTGCTCTCTCGTTATCTGACTATGTGTTCTCTCATAGTCCTAGAGAATATGGTCGTCGTGTAGGTGGCACAGAGCTACGAATTTCTCCTAAGTGGAGATGTTCTCTTTTCTCCCTCTCTCACCTGTTCAACTTCTCATTTGAATTCTATGCTGTCACTGTCACTTGTCCACTCAAACTTAACATTGTCGTCATTTATCGCCCACCAGGTGCCCTTGGAGAGTTCCTCAATGAGCTTGACACCTTGATAAGCTAATTTCCAGACGATGGCTCACCACTCATCGTACTGGGCAACTTCAACCTCCTGGAACCTGACTTCGACTCATTTCTTTCCACCTCTTTATTTCCCCTCCTTGCCTTATTGAACTCACCCTCACCTCCTAGTCGCCCCCACTCACAAGGCAGGCAATATGCTTGACCTCATCTTTACTAGGGGCTGTTCGCTGACTGATCTCACTGCAACCCCCATCCAGGTCTCTGATCACTACTTTGTTTATTTTTCTCTCCCCCTCTCCTCCAACCCTACCCACTCAGCCCCTAACCAGATGGTCATCCGCCGTCGCAATCTTCACTCTCACACTACCCTCTTATCTCTTCCTTCCACTAAATCGTTCTCCCACCTGTCTCCTGACTCTGCGACCCTATTCTCCTCCCTTTCTGCCTCCTTTGACTCCCATTGTCCCCTTTCCTCCCGGGCTGCTCGACCCTCCCCTCCTGCTCCGTGGCTGAGTGACTCACTACGTCCTCACAGAACAGGGCTGCAGGCAGCTGAATGAAAATGTTGGATAGTGATAGACTACATCCAATTTGCTGAGTAGAGTGTTGGAGGCTATTTTGTAAATGACATCGCCGAAGTCAAGGATCGGTATGATAGTCAGTTTAACGAGGGCATGTTTGGCAGCATGAGTGAAGGAGGCTTTGTTGCGAAATAGGAAGCCGATTCTAGATTTAACTTTGGAATGGAGATGCTTAAATGTGAGTCTGGAAGGAGAGTTTACAGTCTAATCAGACACCTAGGTATTTGTAGTTGTCCACACACTCTAGGTCAGACCCGCCGAGAGTAGTGATTTTGTCGGGTGGGCGGGTGCCAGCAGCGTTCGATTGAAGAGCATGCATTTAGTTTTACTAGTGTTTAAGAGCAGTTGGAGGCTACGGAAGGAGTGTTGTATGGCATTGAAGCTCATTTGGAGGTTTGTTAACACAGTGTCCAATGAAGGGCCAGATGTATACAAAATGGTGTCGTCTGCGTAGAGGTGGATCTGTCCAGCAGCAAGTCACCAGCAGCAAGAGCGACATCATTGATATACACAGAGAAAAGAGTCGGCCCGAGAATTGAACCCTGTAGCACCCCCATAGAGACTGCCATAGGTCCAGACAACAGGCCCTCCGATTTGACACATTGAACTCTATCTGAGAAGTAGTTGGTGAACCAGGCGAGGCAGTCATTTGAGAAACCAAGGCTATTTAGTCTGCCAATAAGAATGCGGTGGTTGACAGAGTCGAAAGCCTTAGCCAGGTCGATGAGGACGGCTGCACAGTACTGTCTATTATCGATTGCGGTTATAATATCGTTTAGGACCTTGAGCGTGGCTGAGGTGCACCCATGACCAGCTCGGAAACTGGATTGCATAGCGGAGAAGGTACGGTGGGATTCGAAATGGTCGGTGATCTGTTTGTTACATTGGCTTTCAAAAACTTTCGAAAGGCAGGGCAGGGTGGATATAGGTCTGTAACAGTTTGGATCTAGAGTGTCACCCCCTTTGAAGAGGTGGATGACTGTGGCAGCTTTCCAATCTCTGGGGATCTCAGACGTTACGAAAGAGAGGTTGAACAGGCTAGAAATAGGGGTTGCGACAATTTTGGCTACTAATTTTAGAAAGAAAGGGTCCAGATTGTCTAGCCCATATGATTTGTAGGGGTCCAGATTTTGCAGCTCTTTCAGAACATCAGCTGTCTGAATTTGTGTGAAGGAGAAGCGGGGGGGCATGGGCAAGTTGCAGCGGAGGGTGCAGAGTTGGTGGCCGGGGTAGTGGTAGCCAGGTGGAAAGCATGGCCAGCCGTAGCAAAATGCTTGTTGAAATTCTCGATTATTGTAGATTTATCGGTGGTGATAGTGTTTCCTAGCCTCAGTGCAGTGGGGAGCTGGGAGGAGGTGCTCTTATTCTCCATGGACTTTACAGTGTCCCAAATATTTTTGGAGTTAGTGCTACAGGATGCAAATTTCTGTTTGAAAAAGCTAGCCTTTGCTTTCCTAACTGCTTGTGTATATTGGTTCCTAACTTCCCTGAAAAGTTGCATATCGCGGGGCTATTCGATGCTAATGCAGTACGCCACAGGATGTTTTTGTGCTGGTCAAGGGCAGTCAAGTCTGAGGAGAACCAGAGGCTATATCTGTTCTTAGTTCTGCATTTTTTGAATGGGGCATGCTTATTTAAGATTGAGAGGAAAGCACTTTTAAATGAACAACCAGGCATCCTCTACTGACGGAATGAGATCGATATCCATCCAGAATACCTGGGCCAGGTCAATTAGGAAGAAAAGTAAAAGTGTTTTAGGGAGCGTTTGACAGCGATGAGAGGTTGTCGTTTGACTACGGACCCGTTACGGACGCAGGCAATAAGGCAGTGATCGCAGAGATCCTGGTTGAAGACAGCGGAGGTGTATTTAGAGGGTAAGTTAGTCAGGATGATATCTATGAGGGTGCCCATGTTTACGGATTTAGCGTTGTACCTGGTAGGTTCCTTGATCATTTGTGTGAGATTGAGGGCATCTAGTTTGGATTGTAGGATGGCCGGGGTCTTAAGCATATCCCAGTTTAGGTCACCAAGCAGTACGAACTGAGGATAGATGGGGGGCAATCAATTCACATATGGTGTCCAGGGCACAGCTGGGGGCTGAGGGGGGTCTGTAGCAAGCGGCAACAGTGACAGACTTATTTCTGGAAAGGTGGATTTTTAGAAGTAGGAGCTCAAACTGTTTGGGCACAGACCTGGATAGTATGATAGAGCTCTGCAGGCTCTCTCTACAGTAGATTGCAACTCCACCCCCTTTGGCAGTTCTATCTAGACGGAAAATGTTGTAGTTGGGGATGAACATTTCTGAATTTTTGGTGTCATTTTTTCTCCCAGGGCTCTGTTCTAGGCCCTCTCATCTTTCCATATCCTCGCATGGTCTCTCCTATCATTGCTATGCGGATGACACTTAACTACTTTTCTCATTCCCCCCTTCTGACACCCAGGTGGCGACCCCATCTCTGCGTGCCTGGCAGATATCTCAGCTTGGATGTCAAACTCAACCTCGACAAGACGGAGCTGCTCTTCCTCCCGGGGAAGGCCTGCCCGCTCCAAGACCTCTCCATCACGGTCGACAATTCCACTGTGTCCCCCTCCCGTGGTGCAAAGAACCTTGCCGTGACCCTGGACAACACCCTGTCGTTCTTTGAAAACATAAAAGCAGTGACTCACTCCTGCAGGTTCGTGCTCTACAACATCCGTAGAGTATAACTTTTCCTCACACAGGAAGCTGCGTAGGTCCTAATCCAGGATCTCGTCATATCCCGTCTGGACTACTGCAACTCTCAGTTTGCTGGGCTCCCCGCTTGTGCCCTCAAATCCCTGCAATTTATCCAGAACGCTGCAGCATGTCTGGTGTTCAACCTTCCCAAGTTCTCCCATGCTCCTCCGTACATTCCACTGGCTTCCAGTTGAAGCTCACATCGACTACAAGACCATGGTGCTTGCCTACAGAGCAGCAAGGGGAACTGCTCCTCCCTACCTTCAGGCTATTCTCAAACCCTACATCCAAACCCGAGCACTCCATTCTGCCACCTCTGGTCTCTTTGCAGTCCCACCCCTACGGGAGGTCAGCTCCCGCTCAGCCCAGTCAAAGCTCTTCTCTGTCCTGGCACCCCAATGGTGGAACCAGCTTCCCCCTGATGCTAGTCCCTGCTCATCTTCCGAAAACATCTGAAACCTTACCTCTTAAAAGAGTATCTTAAATAACACATCTCAGTCTTTAAAAAAGAAATGTGTGTGCATCTATAGCGGCTCACGGGAGCTTTAGGGCAGATAGAGAGAGGCAGCAGAACACAGCTACTAGCACAACAACGCTATTCATGAATAGATAATGTGGTAATGGGAATTGTTTAGTGTTCTTGTTCAGCAGGCTCACAGTGTGTGTGTGTGTGTGTGTGTGTGTGTGCACAAAATACTTGGTTTTCTTTGGTTTTCTTGTGGCACCCTGAATCTTTAGCCAAATAGATAGTGTTGGTTGGAGAGTGGGTGTGAGAAAGTGTCTTGGAGGCGCTCTGTCTTGAGGGTGCCTCTTGATATATAGAAGACTGTGGTACATATGAATGGCATGTGAGCAGGGTGTGAATGAAATCCTCAAAAGACACACACAAATACCAACACACACACTGCCTCAAAACAAACACAGACACAAACAATACATCTCTCTCTCACACACACATTAAAGTGGCTGGGTACTGCCTGGTTGGGGGAACTCCCGAGCCAGGCCCCTCTTTTCTCGCAGTAATGGTTAACTTCTCAGAGTAATGATTCACATTCCACACGGGGATGCAAAACCAGAATAGAACAAAGCAGGAGGATAGGGGGATTTTCAAACATAAATGTACATCCACAGGATGCTGTGGCCAAAACAACTCCACGAGGAAGTGGGCCACACAAAAATGCCACAACTGAGACAGAACCCTTTAGGCCTGGCACACATCGCACTGAATGAGGATCTAGCGGTCGTCTGTTTTAGGGACCACCCGCTGTAGTGTCTGACTACCGACATTTTCATACGATTCTACATGTAAAATAGGTGCGCACTCGGTTCACAAATTACTTTCAGGAGGTGCTAAGTACTCTGGGCCAGCAAACGCTCTTGATGTGTCTGAGCCCTTAGAGCTCCTCTCAGCCTGAGATAGATGAGTCCATCTGACCACAACTGAGCCCTGATCCTCCCAACGACGGCAACCTTAACTATACCCAAACCTCGTATGGTGGCGCAGTTGGTGTCTTTGTGGGTCATTATTGGGAGATAATTGTTTTGCCGACACAAATGAGAAGACGACAGCAATGCCACAATGAAATGGCATCCATATGCAGAAATGAACACGACTCCAGAGGGATAGAGAGAGCGAACTAACGATGGATGGAGAGAGAGAGAGAATAACACTCACCTGGGCATAGTCCCTCTCTACAGCGGCTTTCTTCTGACTGAATGTCCTACAAGGAACAAAGGTAGAACCACAGAATTATATACACCATATAATAATTAACTGGATAAAGAGACTGAATGGACACTACAAGATTATATAAGTTAAGCAACGCATGATACATTAAGATTCAAAAGCCAATGATATGCTAGGCATCATAACTGATGTACACTACATGATCAAAAGTACGTGGACACCTGCTCGTCGAACATCTCATTCCAAAATCATGGTCATTAATATGGCGTTGGAACCCTTTTGCTGCTATAACAGCCTTACTATTCTGGGAAGGCTTTCCACTAGATGTTGGAACATCTATTCCATTCAGCCACAAAACCATTAGTGAGGTCGGGCACTGATGTTGGGCGATTAGGCCTGGCTCGCAGTCGGCGTTCCAATTAATCCCAAAGGTGTTCGATGGGGTTGAGGTCAGGGCTCTGTGCAGGCCAGTCAAGTTATTCCACAGCGATCACGACAAACCATTTCTGTATGGACCTCGCTTTGTGCACGGGGGCATTGTCATGCTGAAACAGGAAAGGGCCTTCCCCAAACTGTTGCCACAAATTTGGAAGCACAGAATCACCTAGAATGTCATTGTATGCTGTAACATTAAGATTTCCCTTCACTGGAACTAAGGGGTCTAGCCAGAACCATGAAAAACAGCCCCAGACCATTATTCCTCCTCCACCAAACTTTATACTTGGCACTATGCATTGGGGCAGGTAGCATTCTCCTGGCATCCACCAAACCCAGATTCGTCCGTCGGACTGCCAGATGGTGAAGCGTGATTCATCACTCCAGAGAATGCATTTCCACTGTTCCAGAGTCCAATGGCGGCAAGCTTTACACCACTCCTTTGCACATGGTGATCTTAGGCTTGTGTGCGGCTACTCGGCCATGGAAACCCATTTCATGAAGCTCCCGACAAAAAGTTATTGTGCTGACGTTGCTTCCAGAGGCAGTTTGGAACTCGGTAATGAGTGTTGCAACCGAGGACAGATGATCTTTACGCGCTTCAGCACTCGGCGGTCCCGTTCTGTGAGCTTGAGCGGCCTACCACTTTGCTGAGCCGTTGTTGCTCCTAGACGTATCCACTTCACAATAACAGCACTTACAGTTGACCGGGGCATCTCTACCAGGACAGAAATGTTACGAACTGACTTGTTGGAAAGTGGCATCCTATGACGGTGCCAAGTCGAAAGTCACTGAGCTCTTCAGCAAGGCCAAGGAGATTGCATGGCTGTGTGCTCAATTTTATACATCTGTCAGCAACGGGTGTGGCTGAAATAGCCAAATCCACATTATATATTTTATTTAACTAGGCAAGTCAGTTAAGAACAAATTCTTACTTACAATGACTGCCTACCCCGGACGACGCTGGGCCAATTGTGCGCCGCCCCATGGGACTCCCATATACAGTGGGGGAAAAAAGTATTTAGTCAGCCACCAATTGTGCAAGTTCTCCCACTTAAAAAGATGAGAGAGGCCTGTAATTTTCATCATAGGTACACGTCAACTATGACAGACAAATTGAGGGAAAAAAATCCAGAAAATCACATTGTAGGATTTTTTATGAATTTATTTGCAAATTATGGTGGAAAATAAGTATTTGGTCACCTACAAACAAGCAAGATTTCTGGCTCTCACAGACCTGTAACTTATTCTTTAAGAGGCTCCTCTGTCCTCCACTCGTTACCTGTATTAATGGCACCTGTTTGAACTTGTTATCAGTATAAAAGACACCTGTCCACAACCTCAAACAGTCACACTCCAAACTCCACTATGGCCAAGACCAACGAGCTGTCAAAGGACACCAGAAACAAAATTGTAGACCTGCACCAGGCTGGGAAGACTGAATCTGCAATAGGTAAGCAGCTTGGTTTGAAGAAATCAACTGTGGGAGCAATTATTAGGAAATGGAAGACATACAAGACCACTGATAATCTCCCTCGATCTGGGGCTCCACGCAAGATCTCACCCCGTGGGGTCAAAATGATCACAAGAACGGTGAGCAAAAATCCCAGAACCACACGGGGGGACCTAGTGAATGACCTGCAGAGAGCTGGGACCAAAGTAACAAAGCCTACCATCAGTAACACACTACACCGCCAGGGACTCAAATCCTGCAGTGCCAGACGTGTCCCCCTGCTTAAGCCAGTACATGTCCAGGCCCGTCTGAAGTTTGCTAGAGTTCATTTGGATGATCCAGAAGAGGATTGGGAGAATGTCATATGGTCAGATGAAATCAAAATAGAACTTTTTGGTAAAAACTCAACTCGTCGTGTTTGGAGGACAAAGAATGCTGAGTTGCATCCAAAGAACACCATACCTACTGTGAAGCATGGGGGTGGAAACATCATGCTTTGGGGCTGTTTTTCTGCAAAGGGACAAGGATGACTGATCCGTGTAAAGGAAAGAATGAATGGGGCCATGTATCGTGAGATTTTGATTGAAAACCTCCTTCCATCAGCAAGAGCATTGAAGATGAAACGTGGCATGGTTTTTTAGCATGACAATGATCCCAAAGACACCGCCCGGGCAACGAAGGAGTGGCTTCGTAAGAAGCATTTCAAGGTCCTGGAGTGGCCTAGCCAGTCTCCAGATCTCAACCCCATAGAAAATCTTTGGAGGGAGTTGAAAGTCCGTGTTGCCCAGTGACAGCACCAAAACATCACTGCTCTAGAGGAGATCTGCATGGAGGAATGGGCCAAAATACCAGCAACAGTGTGTGAAAACTTACAGAAAACGTTTGACCTGTGTCATTGCCAACAACGGGTATATAACAAAGTATTGAGAAACTTTTGTTATTGACCAAATACTTATTTTCCACCATAATTTGCAAATAAATGCATTAAAATTCCTACAACGTGATTTTCTGGATAGTTGACGTGTACCTATGATGAAAATTACAGGCCTCTCTCATCTTTTTAAATGGGAGAACTTGCACAATTGGTGGCTGACTAAATACTTTTTTTCCCCACTGTATACTTTTGTAGATATAGTGTATCAGTCTGATATATAATGAATGTGATGGCTTGTTAAATAGATGATCAACTGTGACAAATTGTTTGATCAAAATAGTGGTGCATATAACTATGCAGTGTAGACGTGCTGTAGTATTTTTACTCCATTCTATTTCACTGTTTATCAAGGTCGTATTCATTAGGGCATGCAACGGAAAACATTTACAAAAGAAAACCAAGATTCAAATGCATTATTGGTTCAAATAGTCCCTCCCTGTTTCAGTCCGTTTTCTTCCGTATGATGTCTATTGAATATGGAATTTCTTGTATCTTAATCCCCGGGGTCCCGGTTGGGTTATTGTTTGGAGTCTTTACAGTTCCAGGAGTGAGCAGAGTATGGCACAGCTTGTTCTTTCTCACATGTAAACAGTTGGAGAACCACAGCGTCTACTGGCCTATATCCTTCCCTCCCCTTTCACAACAAAAATAATCAGAATTCTTTCAGTAACTGTACTTATTCTTTCCTCCCGTTCCTGGGCCACTAGTCCCTCCTTTCTCCCGGTCTCTCTCCCTCTTCCAGGCTCTGCTCTCTGCAACTGGATCCAGGACTTCCTGACAGGCAAACCCCAGGTGGTGAGGGTAGACAACAACACCTCTGCCACACTGACCTGCAACAAGGTGGCCATGCACGACTCCAACACCATCATTAAGTTTGCCGACGACATGACGGTGGTGGGCCTGATCGCTGACGGCAATGAGACAGCCTCCAGGGAGGAGGTTAGAGCCCTGGTAGAGTGGTGCCAGGAAAAGCCTCTCCCTCAACGTCAGCAAAACCAAGGAGCTAATCATGGACTACAGGAAAGGGGGGGGGGGCTGCAGTGGAGAGGGTCAAAAGCATCAAGTTCCTCGTTGTGCACATCACAGCTGACCTAAAATGGTCCAAACACACCACCACCATTACAGCACCTCTTCAACCTCAGGTGACTGAAGAAATGCTGCATGGGTCCTCAATAATTTCTATAGCTGCACAATTGAGAGCATCTTCACCGGCTGCAGCACCGCCTGGTACAGCAACTGCACTTCCCTCATCTGAAAGGCTCTATAAAGGGTGGTGCATCACTGGGGTCTCCCTGCGAGCTCCCTGGCCTCCAGGATATCTACTTAGTGTCTGAGCCATAGACTGTGCAGTCGGTTACCATCTGGTAAGCGCCATCAGAGCATCGGGTCTTGGACTAACAGACTCCGAGACAGCTACCACCAGGCCATCAGACTGCTGAACAGCTAACACTAGCTGTCACCCTGCACAGACCTGCACATTAGAGACTATTTGCACGGATTATCCACACATCCAACCCTTACACACACGCGCTGTTCTATTATATACTATTTATTCCAGTGCGTTACCAAGTCACTACCCACTTTATATTTGCAAATACAGTCCATTATTACTATGCATACTACCTCTTATTACTTGTAAATTTTGACCTGACTCGTTATTACAGTTACATTTTAGTCATTTAGCAGACGCTCTTATCCAGAGCGACTTACAGTTAGTGAGTGCATACATTTCTATTTCTTTTTGTACTGGTCCCCCGTGGGAAATGAACCCACAACCCTGGCGTTGCAAACGCCATGCTCTACCAACTGAGCTACATGGGACTGACTGATGTACTGCATTAGAAGGAGCTATCACATAAGAATTTTGCTGCACCTTTTACACCGACTGTAAACTGTATATGTAACCAGGTCTCCACCCAACCTTCTTATTCGAGTTAAGTACGTCAGATAAAACATTTCACGACAGGCCTGACGGAAACAGAAAATGCAACATTTGTTGTGACAAAACCATCAGTAGAGTTGAAAATGCAATGGAAACACATTTAACTTGTATTTTTTGTAAATTCGGTACATGGGAATTTAACCGCAAAAGTTATTTTTTATGTGCACTACGTCATCACACACAGCCTTTTATCCGCAACAAGTCAATTTGATGGAAACATCTCTGGTGTGAAAATGTGCATATATTGTTTTTGTGCAGATTTTATCATC